CGCTCAGGGCAGCGGTCCCCAGTGGCGGCTGCCCAGCTGGTGCACAGTGACCCCAGGGTCCTTCCCAGTCACTCGCAGGGCCCTGAGCTGACCCCACCCCCACCCCCCATAACCCCTGTTTGACCTTACACTGACCCCTCAGACCTTTCCCTGGTCTGGTCGCCCCCTCTCCCCCTGGGTGACACGTATTGGCCCCTGGACCTTTCTCCGGCCCCATGCCCCTCACTGCCTCCTGAGTGCCTCCTGGGCTTAGGTGGCCGTTGACACTTGGCTGAGACCGCCCAGAGGTGCGGCCCCATCCTAGCCCAGGGCAGGCCCTCTGCCCGCGGCCGCACTACCTCCTGGTCGCCTGGACGGACAGGCACCAACTCCGGCCACTGCACTCACCGTCCTGCCCCACCGGACGTCACACAAGCAGGGACAACACTGGTGCCAGAATGCCTGTGGACGTGAGGAGGCCGTCGGAAGTCAGAGGTGGACGGTGACCAGAGCCCGCCGCAGTCCCCAGGCCCAACACGTGGATGGCCGCGGCCAGAGCTCGAGACTCGGACCCCCCACCCAGGTTTCCCTCCAGACGCCACCCGGCCCTGCCCCAGGGTCCTCTCCCCGCTGCCCCACCTGCACCCCACCCCTGTTACCTGGGGATCCGTGGCCGCACGCGCTGGGGCTGCCCACGGGGGGACAAGGACACGTCGCTTTAGGCGCCGTGGGCGGGGCGGCGGCCGCATGTAAATGAGCCCGTGGGGCGGGCACGGGGCGGGGCCGGAGTCCGCGTGTCGCCGCCCCGCGGCGGGGGCGGGGCGCACCTGCCGGCTGGGGACCTGGGCCCCTCCCCGCCCGCCCGCGAAGGGTTCCCGGGCCGCCCCTCTCGCCCCGCGCAGGCCCCCGGAGCCAGCTCCGCTGGCCTCGCTGCGAGCCGGCCGGCGCGGAGGGGAAGCACCTGGCCGCCGCACCTGGCCTTGGGGTTAAGGCTCAGCACACGGAGCCAAAGTCAGATTCGTGGAAAAGCCGTTTTGCAGTAATACGAGTTTCTCAAACGGACGGCGGCCGCAGCCCCGAAGAGCAATAGCCCAGGCACCCCGCGCCCTCACCCCGCGTTTCGGGAGGACCCTGCAGCACCGGGGGCTTGAGGACCCGACCCCGCCACGCCCGCGGCGCCGGGCCAGGTGCGAGCGGGCGGAGCCCTGCCCGGGGAGCACCTGCCCGGCCGCCCGTGGGCAGCTCACCGAGAAATAACTGGTCATCGGTTTTAGGAGGTCTCCAGGAGAGGGAGGGAGCTCGAGCTCAAAACCGGCTGCCACCCACTTGCTTTACTTCATCGTCCCCTGCCTCAGTTTCCTCACCTTTGACCGGAGCACTATAAGGCGTTAAAAGCAGCAACTGCACAGGGGTCCTGGGGGCTGATGGGAGGCGCCGGAGCGCGGCAGGACCCGCGGCGGCACACGGGCCTGGGCTCCCACCGGCTCCGGTCCTGCAGGCCCAGGGTCTGCGCTGGCCCCCGCACTTCCCCCGGACACTGCCACTCGCTGCCTGTCTTGGGATCTGGGAATGGGAGTGCACAGGTCTCCTCCGTCTACTCCCCGAGGGTCACTCTGCAGTTGGTGTAACCTGAGCTGGGGCCAGGCCCCTATTTTGGTACAAAGAGGCCCATTTCCCTGCTTGTGACAGCTGGGACCAGGACAGCAAGGAGGGGACACTCGGGGAACAGAAAGGCTGGTTTTGAGCTGATTAGCCTCTGGGCTTAGCGCTCCTTAGAGGCTGGATCTCAGAAATTAAAACGCTTCTGAGACTTCCCTGGCGGTCTAGTGGCTAAAACTCCGCGCTCCCATTGCAGGGGGCCGGAGCTCAATCCCTAGTCGGGGAACTAGATCCCACATGCGTGCCGCAACTACGAAGCCCGCGTGCCGCAGTGAAGATCCCGTACACGGCAACGAAGATCCCGCGTGCCACAACTAAGACTCGATGCAGCCAAATAAGTAAATACTAAAAAAAAACCCCAAAAACAAAAACAAAAATGCCTCCGAAATTCATCAATGTTTGAATTACAGGTACACTTTATGGCAGCGCAAACAGTCCATGCTAGTTTTCCGGTGATTATGCAAATCTTCGTGTTCTCGGGAGCGTGGGGTTTAGGTCTGTCGCAGAAAAGGGCATCCCATCTCTAGAGACCAGGGCAGTGAGTGACCCAGAGCTGCAGGCTCCCAGCACCCACAGTGGGGCAGTGCCAGATCACCCACCCCAGGCCTTATACCGTGGAAAACACACAGAATCAATGCGGTAACAGAATCTATAAATATATATTTATTTTGAATATTAAATAGTTTTTAAATTACAAGCAGTTTATTGAATCACACTATGCATCAATATACAGTAAAAACCTTACAATTTAAAAATGTACACGATTTAAACTGAAAGTTCATTAACTATTATATTGCCGTGAACCTCTTACAGCTGTGTTAAAGCACAACAGGGAAACCTCGGAGGTGGGATGGCCCCATGCGTCCTCATTTGCGGCTGGAACGAAGCAGTGGGTACTCTGAACAGCGGGCCGCTGTTACCGTCTATCTACGCCTGTGCCAACTTGAACTTAACCATGTTCCAGCCATTCAAATAACAGGTTGTTGGCGATTCAATACTGTCCACACATCTTTTAAGAATTAATTTACATACTAAAGAGTGTTTTACCTTTTGATAGCCAAAGCTTGGGCCAACCCCGTTACTACTGAGGAACGTTGTTTTTGAGACTTACACCTGAAGTAACTGCGTACACCCATGCTTATTTTAAGCCTACTTCTCCTAAGGCTAATATTTTGAAGCCCCTCGTAACTGAAGCCCGGCATCTCCAGCCTCACACTTGGTTCGCTTCTGGAATTTTCAGATGACGGGCTGAGTAAAGTAAAACCAAGAGCTGCCTCCCTCGCACCTGGGCCCTCAGGACAAACGTACAGAAAGTCATTAACCCCACGAACACCCTGTGGAAAGTGTTAATAAAAGAAGGAGGCTTTGAAAGGGCTTTCAGGGCAGCAAGACATACCAAGACCTTTCTTAGATAAAGCCATTTTCATAGAAACAATCACCTGTACACTCAAAAATAGAACCGATACTCTGTTCTCCATTCAGCTTCCTGGAGTTTCCTCACCCTCAAGATGAAGGGCTTCTTACCCAGACGCACAGTCCAAGTTTCAGGAGGATTTGGGGGGAGCACTTTTTCTTCATTTTGCTCTTACTGGCTTATGACCAAGTCCTTTGATAACACAAATTAACATCTAGCTAGGAAGGACATGAAGGTTAGATTATTTTTATTGTAGGACTTAAGATACGTAAACTCCACCAAAGTAAGACAGATCCCAAAGGAGGCCAGGAAATATCGTTGTGAACCAGGTATGACAAACCTCACCCACATTCTCTAGAGAATTCCACTGATACTATTTCATTGTGTAACTTATTAGAACAAAAGCAGTTTAAAAATCCACCTACTGGTAACCGAGTGAAAAGAAAACTGAAACAAACAACAAAGCACATGCTGACATTTCAAAAATGGGCAGAAAATTTTAATCTACATAATTTCCTGTGTATTACTTGAGATTTCAAAAGAACATGTTAATTCCCATGTTTATTATAAATATAAAATCTACCCGACCATGCAACACCACACTAAGACCTACTACTCCAACCCAGCCCCACCCCTAGCTCCCTGTATAAAATGTTTTTGGCAATTCATTGTATCAGAGTGATGTAGACCTTAAAATAAATTAAAATGGGAATTATGTTGTTAAAAATCTCCTTAATCATAGTGAAAAATGTACAGCCCCAAAGCATCAATAAATTTACCACAGGATGACTGTATAAGAAGACTATCTAGTCTATGGATCTACTTGATTTTAGTCATTAGATCTGAACTCCTTAAACCTGTAAATTTAAAAAAACTAGTATAACTGCCTCTCATTTTTCTTTTAACCAAGACTGGTAGATGTAAAAATTCAGAAAACTCTGAAGTCTCCAGAGCAAGAAGTTGAGAGTTATGACAGTTTTGGCAAAATCACCTCCTAATGCCCTGTTAACTGTGTTTTCAACATGCACGTCCCAGGGTTCGGCTCTGGCAGTGCTCTGTGCTCACACCGGGGGAGGGGAAGGGAGCCCCTGCCGCTCTGGAAAGTCATTGCTAGTATAAAAAGGGGGCGGAGCCAGAACTGAGAACATAGGTCACAACTTACTACGTCAACTCTGGCCAGCGCACACACCTGCATCGGGTCCCCAAGCTCCCGTGACCGATGTCCTGCAGCTCCGGACGGGCCTGGAGGGTCATCCCAGCCTCTCGCTCAAGTCGGGAAAGCACGTCAGCACCGGAAACCCCTGGGGTGAGGGGCCGGTGTGCGGGGACCCAGCCCCAAGGCCCCACCCGTATACACTGGCTGCCACGCTGCTGGCAGAGCAGAACTCGAGGGCCGCAGAGTGAGGTCAGCTTTTTATTAGCAACACCCGACACCTGCCAACATCATGAGGCTGCACTGGACACACTCGGTCCTTTCAGAGAAAGGGGAGAACTGGGGGCTTAACGCAGAAGCGCGGGGGGGGGCGGTCAGTGCAGATGAGCCCGGGGCACCGTCTGGGGGCGACGGCCACTCGGGCTGCCCGAGGGCCCGACCAGGAGGACGTGCTGGCTGTGGAGGCTCCTCCGTCGTCCTCACGGCTGCGGGATGTAGTGTACTGCCTCGGTTACAGAGACCAGCCACACATGGACGGAGCATGATCCGGACTGGCTCTGGGGGCTGTGAGCAGCTCAACACCTCAAACGCACAGAAAGAATGAACTCAAACCGTCCTCGGCCCCCAGGGCCCTCCGTGGAGCCGCTTCTATGCTCCTGAAGGGAGGAGTGACCACACAAGGGCCCTCAAGCCACCGCTGTCTGCGCTTCTAGAAACCAAGCAGAAGAGCCGGTTCTGAGGGGAAGTGACTTGGGGCCCAGCTGGGAGGAGGCCTCGTGGCCCCTGGGGACAACGGGGGGACCTGGATGTTCCACCCAAGCTGAGCTCTGGGAACCACCTGTCGATTTTTACCAAAAGGGTTTTTTAAAAGTTGGGGGAGGGGTGGGTGGGAGAATCACACAGAGGGGCTACAAGACCCGTCAGCCCCTCAGAGAAGCCTCAACTGCAACAAGGAAAAAACCACCTTAGAGAGAAGAGACAGAAATGTGTTTCATTCAATCAGCAAAACAGAGCAGTCTTCTTGGACTCATCAAAAATATTTCCTATAAGAACATAAAACACTAACATTCAGAATCATTTATCATTTACGAAAGAGTACCATATGTACAATTCCAACAATTTCTAAAGACAGCATAACACTCAAAATACTTAAGCTTTACAAGTACCATGCAAACAAACTATAAAACAGAAGAAAAAAAAATCAAACTAGTGGATAGCACCAGCTTGACCTGCCTTACTTTCCTTGAATAATTTAAGATTCTGTACAGTATCAGGGACTCTTAGGACATTTATCCACAGTGCAATTACAGAAAGCAATTAGTGATTTCTTTAAAAACAATAAATATGGCTCACTGGTGCCAATTCCCATCGTGGTCCTCAGGGACCTGTGCACGGACGGGATGCACAGGTGCGGACGCGGAGAACAGCCCACATGGGAACCAGAAACCACCCAGAGACGACAGCCCCCCACGCTGGCCAGGCTCAGGCTCCTCGCGGACGGCAGGAGCGCTGGCCCTTCCAGCAGGCGGGGCGGCGAGGGCAGCAAATAGCTCTGGACGAGCTGGACGAGCTGGGAGACCACGCCTAGCTGGGCGTCCCGCGGCGCCGTTCCCTCGGCCTCCTGAGTCCTCCTCCGCTTCCCGTGTCAGCAGCTGTCGAGTGGGCGCCACTGGGCAGCCGGAAACGCCACTGCCGGGGAGCCGCCTGGGCCCGAGGTGCCTTAGCATCACCTAATCTTTCTCCCCGTCTTCGCTGCTTCCTATTAGGAGAGAGAAAGCAAAGCTGTGTTTTAAAACAATCGTCACAGATAAAAACAGTGTGGACAGCGTCTGAGCTTCACTGCAGAAAGAGGAACTGAAGCTAGAAGTGTGGCTCTCAGCCACCTGCCCGGCTGCTCGCCGCTTCCTGCGACAGCAGCACCTGCCAGGCTCTCTCGCAGACACATCTGCGCGGCTCACACGCTGCTCAATGCCAATGCTTTGGGCGCGGGAGAGAACTGGCTCTGAGCCCCACACATCTGCCCCCAATAGATCATTAGGTCATGGGCGTTATCTAATCGGCACTATTAAACCCAGGACAAACACAAATAAAAGCCTTTATATTTCGCAGTTATTATTATTTGATCTGCAAACTTCACATCAAAAGAGTGTACCTATTAACATTTATCTTCAGTGTAGCTGTGGGGAAAGAAGGGTCCACATGTTCCGATACCACTACTCCAAATGTGCCGGCCCAGGACCTCCCCTGGGCTTCCTGGTGGCACACGAAGACTAGGACTTAATGGCAAAATCAACATTCCCGGGGGAGGGGCCCCAGTGCATTTAGGTTCACGCCCGAAGTCAGGGCCAAGTGTTCTTCAGAGCATGAGCTTTCTGAAGAGCTGCTCCTCTCTGGGGGAAAGAAGGAGAGATGGGGGCTGGGGGCTAACAGAACAAAGGGAAAAAGGAGAAGAAAGGTGGCAGAGCGGCCCCAGGGCCACCGGGCCCAGCAGGGCAGAGACGGAGCCCGGAAGTGGGGGCCGAGGCCCCGGAGCACACTGCCAAGGCTGTGAGCTCTTCGTAAAGACTCGTACAGCCTTGTCTGCCAGCACCGGGAGAGCACCCCGTTCCCGGGCAGCCGGCCCTGCCCTGGCTCCGCACCCTGCTCACCTCCCTGCTCCATGTCCGAGTCTGTGAGGTGCGTGAGAGAGAAGCTGGCGATGCTGGCGGGCGTGATGGAGAACCTGGAGTAGGGCGCCCCGTGAGGCCAGCTGGGCTCCGTGCTCCGGGGCGGCGGCGGCGGCGAGAAGTACTTGGATGTCTGAAGGGAAGGCGTGGAGCGGAGGAGGTGACTCGTTGTCTTTGACATAAAAGGGTCCGGGGAGAAGTCATCGTCCCATTCAAAGCCTCCACCTGGAAGTAAGAAATAAAAGTAACTCTCCTTTCATGACTTCGTTTTAAGGAACAGAGAGGGCAGTGCAGGTGCCCAGGTGGGCTCAGAGGGGCACAGACCACCCTGGGTGCAGACGGCAGAGCTGCCCACCCCACACCCCCAGGGTGACATGTGAAGCGACATGTGAAGTTATCCTCAGAAACAGCTCACATCACACTCATGTTTAGTTGCTTTTTAAACCTGCCAATGAGATACCTTCTTCATCAGTGGAACTTTCGGAATTCATGCACCTGCTCGGGTAGGGGGAGCCTGACGACGGTGCGGGGCTGCTGAGCCCCGGCCCGCATGCCTCTCTTCCGCAGCGGCCCAGCTCTTTGGTCGGGGTCTCCTGAAAAGCCCAACATAAGTTCCCATCAGCCAGCGCCTGCTTTCAGGAGCCCTGGGGCAGGGGCCCTCGCTGACCATTTGTGACCTGTCCCTCCCACCCCTGGGGAAGGTGGCCCGGGAGTCGGCGCCCCATCTCTCCTGTGGAACGGGCTCTAAATCCTGGGCAGACACACAAAGCGGCCACGGGAGACCTCGGAGGAGGAGACGCAGCAGGCAGGTTGGGGCAGAGCGCTGGAGTCAAAGGACACCAAGCCAGCAGTGAACCAACCCCACCCCTCCACCCCACCCCCGCCACTTGGGTCCTGGTTCCAGATGCAGCAAGGGGGCTCTTCTGATGCTTAGAAAGAGGAGAGGAAATTCCAGGGGTTTGCTTTCTTCCCCCTGTTCTCTTGCTCCCAGCCCGAGCAACCCTGGGTGACAGCAGCAGAGGTGGCAGGCACCTGTAATTCTGAGGGTGGTGAGCTTCCTCTCTGCCTGGAGAACCCACACGCCTTTTCCCTCTCCGTCCTCCCGCTGCGCAGCTGCACAGCGTACTGTGGTAACCCAAAGCCCAGCCTTCTGGCCGGAGGACCAAGAAGAGAGGGGCCAAGACACTGGACAGCCCAGGGAGGGGGGAGCTCAGAAAAGGGATCCCATCAGTTGTTTATGAGCTCCTAGCTTACCCCCAGCTGCTCAGGGTAGATCTGACCCTAAACAGCACACCAAAGCGTTGAGAACTGAATTTCAGGGAGACCACTGCCAAGGTCCAGTCTGGCCAGGTGGTGGCACATGCACAGGACAGGTTCAAACAGCACAACCAAGGCTTTGAAAGGGGACCCCAATCCCCAGAAGGCTGGTTGAAACTTGTGACCTGAACCCAACTGGGTTAACGCCTTCTAAGAAGAAAATATCAACATTATCCATAGAATCTAAACAAGGCACAGAATCGGATAAAATAATAAGGGTACAATCTAAAATTTCTCAGCAAACAAAGAATAAGGAAAACCTCAATTCCCAGGAGAAAAAACAATCAACAGATGCCAATGCCAAGATGTCCTTAGATGTTGGAATTACCTGAGAACAATTATAAATATGCTCTTATTTATAATTTATAATATAATTATAAGTATGGGAAAACACACTGGAAATGAATGGAAAAGTCTCAGCAAAAGAATAGATAAAAATAATGAATCGCGGATTTCGGAACAGAAAAATACAATAACCAAAATTTTAAAACTCACTGGGTGGGCTCAACAGCAGGATGGACATGAGAGAGGACAGAATAAGTTAATGTGAAGCAGATCAACAGAAATGATCCAATCTGAACAACAGCAAAAGCAAACACTGGACGGAAAGAAAAGAACAGAGCCTCAGGGCCTATATACTAGGATATTACCCAAAGGTGTAACGCTGGAGTCCCAGAAACAGAGAGACAGAGTGTGGTGAAGAAGCAAAGAAGAAACAATGGCTGAAAACTTCTCACATCTGGTGAAAGACATAAAACTACAGGTTCAGGAAGCTTTGCAAACTTAAAATGAGATAAATACAAAGAAATCCATGCCTGTAATCCAGAAATCCATAATCATACTACTGAAAACCAAAGACAAAGAAAAAAACTCCTGAAAGCAGCCAGGGACAATGATGAAAGAAAAGAACTATCACCTCAGAAATCTATGTTCAGAGAAAATATCCTTAAAAAATGAGTGTAAAATAAAGACACTCTCAGATGAAGAAAAACTAAGAGAATTTGTTAAAAAAAAAAAAAAAAAAAGGCCACACAAACTTCTTCAAACAGAAGGGAAATGATAATAAAAAGGAACCTGGAACATCAGAAATGAAAAAAGAACAGTAGTAACTATCTGAGTGAATATAATCCTATTCCTCTCCTCTTCAGTTTCTTAAAACATGTTTGATGACTAGAATTAAAGCATAGAGCACTGTGTGATGGGGTTTTTGATGAATAAACATATGACACATCAGACAACCTGAAGAAGAGGGGTACGGGGGGGATGAAGGGCCCACAGGGTACAGGGGTTCTTATATTCCACTTGAAATGGTAAAACACTGATTCTAAGGAGGCTGTGAAAAGTTAAGTATGTACATTGTAATCCCAAGAACCACTCCAAAAACTACACTAAGAGAAGACATATAGTAAGGAATGCATAGATAAAAGGTAATTCTAAAAATTGTTCAAATTACCCAAAAGAAAGCAAAAAGAGGAAGAAAAGAAATAACAACCAGAGGAACAAACAGAAACACTGAATAAAATGGTGCACCTAAATCCAAATACAAATAATTCTATTAAATGTAAGTGGCATAAAATACCAATTAAAAGACAAAAGGTTTCAGAATATATTTTAAAAACCACTTATGTGCTATCCACAAGAAACTACTATCAAGTACAGGGATGCAGGTACGTATAAGCATGAAAAAAGAGACATCATACAAATACTACTCAAAAGAAAGCCACAGTAGCTTTATGAATATCAGAGAAAGGAATAAAGAATGACATCATAAAATGACAAAAGGTCAATTCACCGAGAAGATATAATAATCTTAAATGTGGATGAAACTAACAGAACTACAAAACAGATGAAGCAAAAACTGAAAGAAATGAAAAGAGAAACAGACAAATCCATAATTATAGCTGGAGACTTCAACACTTCTCTCTCAGTAATAGACAGAACAAGTAGACAGAAAAATCAGCAACAGTATAGAATAAATGAACAACCAACTGCATCTGACATTTATAGAGCAATGCACCCACCAGAAGCAACATGCACACTCTTT